AAATGCCATCCCTACTATCTTGTTCGCATTGTTTTTTGACGGATTGATATTAGCCATCTCTATATTTACTTCCTTTTTAGAAAATATTTTTTTCTTTACTTATATAGGTGAGAACTCACAGAACTGCTTTTTGTGTTTTCTATTTTGATTCCTATTTGGGTGAAAATTATTCAGAAGAGAAGACATTTCCATATGCACATGTAATTGAAAAACTCGTATGTTCCAAACAAATACATTTGTTTCATAAGCATTTCTAATTGTATATTTATTTTATGGTTCTCAACTTTTTAAAGGTAATTACTTTTAATGTTTTTTACTTTAATTACTATTATATAGAACTCGAGTTCGAGACTTTCTTCCTGTTCGTGCTTGTAATGCAGGCTGGTCATGGCTAAATTTTAGCTCTAAGAATGGACCTGAACATCGGCTTTTTAAACAATACAGTGCCATATCAACTTCAACAACAACTTACAAACTTTTACGCAAGTATCTCGAGTACTGTTGGGCACTTCCTTATTATGGGTAAGGAATCTTCTCATTAGATACACAATGTAAGATTAAGAAATTGGATTAATACATAATTTAAGTTAGGTAGATAAAGGAAAAATGAGCTGATTAAATAATGACTTTACAGTTATTAGTTTATGTGGTTTTGATTTAGTTATAATATTTATAGATACATTCCAGTTGGATTAATAATGAAATTAAACTAGGCTAGGTGAAAGAAAAGGAACTGATTGAAATACTGACTTTACTTAGACAAATGGCAGGTAAATTATTTTGTTGGCTTTTGAGCAGATTGAAACACATTCACATAATTAATTCTTAAATGTCTGGGTGCATGAAGTACCTGTTGATGTTTTTTTTTGTGTATATTGCATAAAAGAAATACTATATGACATTGTTTGAAACTTGAGATGAACTTGCTATAGCTTCTGTAAAATAGAATATTTTTACATATGATATTTTTATGAATTTGCAACTGTTAAAAGTCAAAGATTTCATTGTGATATGTATTTTATAAGAAATAATTTTAAAATGCTTGCATCTGTTGTAGATTTCAATTACTGGATTTTGATGTTTTTCTACGTTCTCATAAGATCTTCCAATAAAGTTTTATTGTATACAACTAAATGTTATCTTTGTTTTGATTTGAAAAACATGGCATGCAGTTTCACTGTGTTTACAATCACTGGCATATAATAAAAGCAACCTATAAGCTTTTTTTAATTAGTTAATTCAAGCAATTCATGTTATATATACAGTAAGTTTTAAGCTTGTTTTATATTTATTTATGCATTTTTCTTACATTTCTTTTTGGTCATTTCCTTTGCTCATTCAAGTAGTTACTAATAAACTGGATATGATTGAGTGCAAAATGATCTAACTAAGCAAAAAAAAATTCTATACATCATCTTGTTTCATAAAAAATTGTTCTTAACATACTGCAATACTGTAATTCAAATATAAATTTTCAAATATTCAAAGTATAAATTTTTAAAGCAAGCTTTTCACAAACTCTAAAACAGTCAGGAATGTTATTGTAGTGGTAATTGTTTTAGTAACATATGATCAAGCTAAGCTTTTATCACTTTGTTCTAACCTTTATGTGAGGCTCTACTGAATTGGAAGCCATATTTACTTATACATTTGAAAGGAACAAAAAAAGAACTTTCATTACATGGTTAGATTATTACCTATGACTTCAAAATAGTGAAATATAGGCAATTACATCACAGCAACAGGGGTTGAGAAACAGTGATTGACTAAAATTTATAAAACTACATTTGTATTAAATTTATAATGATCAAAGTTTGCTACTTTGTTCAAACTATTTCAACTTTCTTCCAAGAATGCAGTGAGTACTCAGAAAAAAATCCTGGAAATTCACAGATGTTATTAATGTTTACTTTCATAGCTGTTCTAAAATCATTCCAAGGACAAAATGTGCAATTTTTAAAAGTTTTTATTTATAAAGTTAAATAAATACAACTTTTTAATTGAATAAATTTCAACTCCAAAGTTTTTTCTTTAATATGTAGAAGATGAACTACAAGTGTAGTTCCTATAAGCTTTTTTAATTCAACTGTGCAATTTTGCTCTTAGGAGTAGGTTGAACTCAACCAAGCTATGTAGAGTTAAATGTGAAATGTAGTTGTGTTTTCTTATTGAAAATGTTTACACTGTGCAAGTGCACTGTTTATTGATAGTATATTCAGTTATGTCTGTTGCTACCATTTTGGTAAACACTTTGGAACTTGGCATTGGATTTTTCTCTGCATAGAGTGGGCATTAGATTTAAGCTTATATAGTACATTATTATATTTTTATTTAAGGCAAGTTTTACTTTTACTAAAAATGTGAATGTGCTCCCTTTAATGTTCCGCCACAATGTTCATAGCAAAGAGATACGTGGCTCAGATGTGATGTGGTACCCCTCCTCAGATCATCTGATTTGATCCTCTCATTTTAGGGGTGTCCTCTGGATGCTTCTGGGGGATACGCCTGTGCTTCTCTTGCACTGGTCTCTCCTCATTTCAATATGGGATTCAAAGTAATCTTGTGAGAAGAGTGAGAGTACCTTATCGGAAGTTATAATTTTCCTAAATGAAAATATATTTCCGGTAGGTACTTCTCTCTTCTCACACAACCCACTCATCCTCCCCATAATCTTCTGGTGCTTGTGTTTTCTCCCAAACTTTGAAGTGATAGTTCGGTAGTGGCGTGTAGAGGGAGTAACCTACATCACGTGATAGTAGTGCTCTCTTCTTAGTGGAGAGGTTACTCATGATCATTTGCATGAGAGATGTGTTGAAACTGTGGGTTCCAACAGAGGAAGGATGAAGGCTTGTGGCATGTGTTTCTGAAAAAGTTCACATATAGAGGGTAGCACAAAATGAGAAATCTAATCATGTGAATGGAGGGAAGTACCTATTTGAAATACATTTTCATTTAGGAAAATTATAACTTCCAAAGTTATAACTGTTAATAATGTACCACATAAACATAAACCTAATGCCCAGATTTAGGTTTATGTAGTACATTATTTTATTTTTATTTAGGGCAATTTTTACCTTTCACAAAAAGAAGATTAGCTGTTTAAATTATAGGTAATAAAGCATTCAAAATTCTTCCTTTGTTATATTGAAAAATTTCAGATATGTTTGTGTTTATAAAACTTTGTAATATCAAAAGTTCTAACTGTTACAGGAGTGCATTCTTCAAAGCACAGATAGAAAAACCAGCTAAGGGTATCACAGCTCTAATCTCTCATTATGATCAACCTGTATTGGTGGCTATCAACAGGGAGGGTATTCATGTAATTGATGTCAGAGAATCGGTATGTAACAGAATTTCAAATTGAAAAACAATTTCTCCAATCCTACAGGAGTTTTTTAAATGAACTTTTATATATTTTTGGTAAGAAAAAAAAAACATTCCCATTTCCAATAAAAGCCTTTTCTTGTTGAATTGTTCTTGCTCACTCTATCAACAACTACATGGCTTTTGTTTCTGAATGTCCTTTACACAATGCATGACATAGGTCATCTTGCTCAAAGATTTCCAGTTTCCTACCTTCCACATGACTCATTGCACAAGCACTAGAGAAACTATATAAACCTTGCTTTCCCACCACAAGGTTTCCTGGTGGGACAATGGTACATTTATGGATTTAAAATGCTAAAACTAGAGTTTGATTCCCTGCAGTGGACACAGTAGATAGCTCAAAGTAGTTTTGCTCTAAAAACAAACAAACAAATGCACCAAAAGCCATATTTTTCTTATTGGCAGTTGTATGTAATCTTTGTTCCTTTGTTTGTTCTGCTCATGAATTTTGAAGTCAGTATTAAGTTCAAGAGCTGGATGATTAATCGATATAATAGATTACTTATGAGCATCAATTAGCTTTATGGTTCACCAATTTTTCTTAATTATTGTAAAGTTAGTTCAAGTGAAAAGAATAATAAATAATTGATGTTAAAAATATATGAATAGTACTGTGTTATTAATCCTTACCATAATTCTGATTTGTAAATGACTCAAATAAAATTGATAATAATTACATATCACTTATTTAATGTATTTCACAACATTACAGTTATTGTTCATCCAACTGATGATATGATACCTGGGATAGAAAGGTTGTCATGTACAGACAGGTTAAGATCTCTGTAATCCTGAAATTGTTTTATTTTGAAAAAGAAGAGTTAGAGGGGATCTAATTGAGGTGCTTAAGATTGTTAAGGGAATCATTATTTCTCATCCTTAATGGTGAGAATGGTAGGACTAAGAAACACGAGTATAACTTATAGCAGGTTAGGACTGATCTTAAGTTAAGAAGTTTTGGAATGGGTTGCTTTCAGATTTAATTAAGGGAGTTTAAGGGAAGAATTGATAAATATTTAAATGATAAGGGCTGGCTTTGCAAATTTTTTAATATAGTTTAGTTTAGGGAATGGGACAGCCTAGATGGACCAATAGGTCCCTTGTTGCCCTTAAATGTTGTTATATTTAACTGTGTAAAGACTTGCTATGAAAGAGCAAGTACAGTTTGTGTTTGAGAACATGAAAAAGAAAGAAAAGTCCAAATATATCAGCTGGTTAATAGTTATCTTTCATCTGCTATTCATTTTTAGAAGTGATCCCTTTAGTTGTTTTTTTTTTTGAGTTACATGAACTTCACTGTTTTTACCTAAAGAGTAAGCAAAACAGGGGAATAAAATGACTGAGGAAAATATGTAAAATAGTTGTTTAAAGCTAGGTTTGTATTGTAAGAATGCATAAACAATTAAAGAACATTTTAGTATGTTCAAGCATTTTAGGTAAATACAGTTGTTAAAATAAATGTAAGTTTAGGTATGAAATATGCCAATTTATAAACTGAAATGATAGTACTTACTTGTGAATTAAAAGTTCTTTGATAATTACTGATCTGAATTAGTTTTGGTAGCATTTTATTGTTAGATTGTAGTTTCAGTTACTGAAGATATTAGAGTAACATAAGAGCCTAAGCACTAATATATTGTGTTATTCTGCAGGTTATCTTGTTGTCTCTGAGATATCGAGAAATGTCTTGGAATTATGCCTGCCCAAGTAAACCAGAAAATCCTAACTGCCTGCCTTGCTTATTTGTACAGTTCAAAATTCAGTTTCAGAATCCACAAGAATTTAAAGTTTTACAGATCTTTTCAAGACAGGTAAGTTTGTTTGTGTTTTGTATTTTAGCATAACTATTAAACTCTCTCCACACATTTTTTTTATTTTGTGTATCAGCTGTTTGAATTAATTTTATAAGCAGTTTAATTTGTACTGTAGTAAACATTGAGTTTTATATATATTTTTCTGTTTGCTTTAATTCTGAAACATACCATCTTTTCTCATACTAAGGCTATTACTCAACTGCCAGGGTTTCTTCCTTTGCCCATCTAACCATTGGGCAGATTATTTTTTCTCACTTGCTCCAGTCTTTTGTACCCCACTTAATTGTACTTGGTGATATTTGTCTCATGACACTCTCCACCTAGCTCAATGCATCCTCTATCCGGGTACTGTATATTTGCACCTTATTCAGATAATATTGTCAGTTTTTTCTCAACAGAGTGTTCACTAATGGGTTTCTCTGTGTTAATATCATTAGGAAATACCTTGTGTTACCTAGTTGATTTCCATTTGACAAGCAGATATATGGCATGAACTTTCGGTCTCTCCTATCCCACCTCTGATATCAAGTGTCGCTTAACAATTGAGGGGGATAATTCTTAGTTGAGACTGTCAGTGATCTAATTGTAGTGAGATGGAGACAAATATTCAGTTCGGTGGTGTTCCTCCGGGGGGCTCTGAGGCTGCAAATGAGGGTGATCCTGGACAAACTGGAGCAAATTTAGATCTGCTTTTTCCTGCATCATCTTTTATTCTGTTGGCTTCTCAGGAGACCACTTTGGGATAAGCTGCCTCAGGCTCTTTTTCTTCAGTTAGTCCATCGAGTGTGTGATGTTTTGGTTCTTTCCCCAGTTGCGTCTGAGCCTCCTTACTTGGTGGCTGAAAGGTATGGGAGCAAATACTTAGTTTCCCTCCATTCACTGACATTGTGGTTTATACAGGGAGGTTTACTGCTCAGTTATGTGAAGGGACAGCTATGCCTTATTCATCACAGTTGTTGGAACTATGTGATTTAGCTTACCACCACCAGGTGTAAACATATTCAGACTCTTAAAGAATACATCTGCTCCTAGAAATTAGGGGTTCTAGAGTGGACTTTGTAGTTAACCTGAATAGATCAATGCCCCTTGGTGGGGTGGCGGTAACTCTGTGGACTTACAACTAAAACTACACTTTGTTAGAAGACACAGGATCACCAAATCTGTTGATTATGAGCTGGACCCATTATTAGCATGCACATTGGTTTGATTGTTGGATTCTATATTCATCCTTGCTGTCCTTGACATCTTGACTTTCATTGGCTCCTCCAGGGGGGTCATAGTTCTGCCCCTATTCGAGGGTCCCAACCCCCAACATCAGCCCCTCAGTCTATTGGTACTCAGAATAGATTCTTTCCATATCCAAGAGTTCTGCTGCTTGGTCTGAATACCACCAGAGGCATCAGTGATTATTGTATACCTTCAGGGTCTGTGGGAGATTGGCTCCGAGAATTTCTGGACGTGTGGTAAACCTTAACTACGGATCCAAGGGAACTTCGTTCCTTGAGTCGAGATTAGTCATTCAGTTCACATCTTCTCCACCAACCTGTAGGGTTTCCATCTCCCGCGGATCTTCTAGAACTATCAGAGTTTGGTTGGTCTTGGGGTAGAGAGAGAGTGATGTCAGTTCTTCCAGAGTTTTATTCCTCTCAGTTCTTTGGCCCAAGAAGACAGGAGATTGGTGTCCAGTTATAGATTTTTCTCATCTGTATCAATTCCTAGGTTCTCCAAGGTTCACAAGTGACTCATTCCTCACTCTGAGTTGGCATTTTTTACTAAGAATGTACATGTACAAGTTTGATGTAGTTGGCTCCTACGTGTACATTGCCATAGTGGTGGCATCTCACCACTTTTGGCACAGATGATGAGGCTTCCCTACACAATGTTTTAGACCTGCTTGCTCTTCAAAAGGCTTGCCTCCTGCTCTGGTCTTATTAAGGGGAAAATCATCAGGCTTCACAATTCCATGGTGGTGTCTTGCATTTCTTGTCAAGGGGACACTTAATCCAGTGATCCTTGTTTTCAAACTTTGGATTTCCTTTCTTGGGACCACTTCCATCATTTCACCCTACTAGCTTGCTATGTTCAATAGGTGATGACTGTGGTAGCAGGTCAATTGTCTTGACCCAAACAGATTTTCCCAACACAATAGATGCTGCATCACAAGGTTTTCTGTTGAATTGGCTCTCATTTTGAAACACTGATTGGCCACTTTTTGGAACACCCATATACTGGCAGTTTGGTCTCCAGTGCCTTACTCTTGGACTTTGGCAATGGATGCATTCCATCAGGATGGAATAGGATTACAATTCTAGGCCTTCCCTCCAATTTGTATGTTACCCAAGGTACTAGATTAATTTGTTCCAACCCATTCTCAGGTACATTTGTTAGCACCAGATTGGCAGTTACTCCCTGGTTTCTGCTTCTATGGTACCTTCAGGAGTGTCCACCTCTTCCACTTCCTCTTTGGCCATCTCAGTGGAGGCAGCCATGACTTGACATGGTTCACCTGGCTATCAAAAAGCTCAAGCTTCAGGCATGGAGGTTATGCAATACTTCGCATGGCATCATGGTTTAATTTCAAAGGTTCCCATGTATCTGTCTCAGTTCTTTGCTTAGTCCCGTGATGGACATTTATTAACAAGAATGACACGTATCTGCAATGGTGTATTGAGAGGAGGTTAAACCCACTTCAATCAGAAGTGCCAACCATAACTTGTGTTTTGACCTGGCTCTTTGGCTAGGGTTTTGCATCTTCCACAATCACCCTGTACAAGGTGGCCTTATTGATTACCACTTGACACTGAAGACAAAAATTCTTTGATTCCCCAATACTCTCTGGATTCCTTAAGTTGCTTTGGGTCTTTTGTTCCAAACAACCATTCCAGTTACATAACTGGTATGTTAAGGTTACATTACATGCCCTTTCTCAACACTCACTGTGCCTTAGCTTCATGTGCTATCTGTCACCTTTCCCTGAAGGTTTATTTTTCATTGCTACTGATCTACAGACACTGCCGGTCGTAGTGGTTTGTGCTGATTGTGCACAGGAGGCTTTATCATTCTACCTATGTTCTCAGACCAGGTCTTTTTCCCTAAGACACTGTCAGACAGGAAAGGGGATAAATCTTTTTTCACTGATTCATCTGATCACTATTTTTCACTTTTATGACTGATCAGATTTCGATCATTTGTTTTGTCCAGTGAGGGTCTTGAAGGTTTTATTGCCCACACTAATGCCTTTAGAGATGCTAGAAAATGACTGTTTATTCATTGGGATCATTCACTTTTCCAGGATTTACCCCAGGTTACATTGATGAGGTGGGTACAAAATTGATTCATATTGCTTATTCAGGGCTCTCTTTAAAGGAGAGGAGTCTTCTGTGAGTCATGTCTAATCAGATTTGTCGCATTTCTATATCCTTAGCAGCCCAGGTTGAATTGCCCACTTGAGGACATTGTGTGGGCTGGTATGTGGACCTCTCCTGATATTTTTATCTCACATTATTTGCATGTTTTGGCAGTATCTTCATCTGAGGGTTTTCGATTATCCCCTGCAGCTATCTTAACCACTTCCACTAGATTATACAGAGGGGGGAGTATTTTCATTGTTATGCTTGTTTCTGCTTTACATTTCAGGGCCCCTTACTTTATTTTCACAGGATCCCATTTTGTGATGAGTGTTGCCCAGGTAGGTGTGTTTTTATCAAACTAATTCACCCTTAAGGTGGAGTAGAAGGTTTGTCCACTTCAGTGTTGCTCACCTTCTCGACATGATTCCGGTGGCTTAGAATGCACACTATGGGCACAGGTTGGGATCCACTTATAAGTATATATATGTTGCAGTCCAATTGTCCTAGCCACCAACATGGGATATAGGAAGAACCATGGCCCTATAGTTCCAACCCTGAGCAGTGAAACCTTGATTATCTGGTTGGGGCCTGGCCAATAGTGTTGATAAATCATGTAAAATTCCACCCACAGTGTATGAATTAAGTTTTGGGTGAAGAGCATACCTGTTCTGGATGTAGTGTGGCTCCCCCACTAGGGTGCCAATCTTTTATTGACACACCCATGATTTGTGCAGATACTTTCTCTGTGGATAATGCCCTCACTGGCTCTTCCATCTTATGAATGTGTGGTTCTAGCTGTAGTGTGAGGGGAGGTAAGTATGTTTTGGAAGTTAACATTTTCTTAAATTGAAAATGTATTTCCAGTAGTACTTACCTCTCTCTCCCACTCTCCCACCCTTCTTCCCCCACTAAGAGCCAGTGTTAGAGACTGTGGATTGAACCAGTCTTGAAAAAGTGATAACATTATCTGAATGATGTGCATATATACAGTACCAGGATACAGGAGGCATTGAAGTAGGTGGAGAGTGTCAAGAGACAAATATCACCAAGGGCAGTTAAGTGGGGTATAAAACACTGGAGCAAGCAAGAAAAAAAGTCAGACCAATACTTAGATGGGCAAAGGAAGAACCCTGGCAGTCAATTAATAGCTATAGTGTGAGAAGAGGTAAGTATTAGTGGAAATACATTTTAGATTTAAGAGAATGTTAACATCTAGATCTTACATGTCATATCATTGTGCTGTTTTTATTCAGTCTCATATACTAATAGTTAATAAAGTTTTTTTATAAAACATACATTGTTTATCAGATTGTTAATGTTAAAGCTTGAAGCCTATTTTAAATTTTCGTGATTAAAAACATATTCATTTGTTATGTTGAATTTCGAAATTCAAGTCAATATTGTGATTATCATGATAAAAATTATAGTGACTTTATGTCTTATTAATAGTTTGTAGGCCCCATAGTTAAAATATGATTCAGTTAGCAGCAACAGTATTTGATACTTCATATTGTTGAGTGTTATGTGATACTTCACATTTAGTTTAAGGTCAGGCTTATTGTGATAAACATGAAAATATATTAGATAAACCTTATTCTGAAAGCCTATTTATATTTCTCTTGGTATTCAAAAACGTTTTTTGCATGTGTTTGTTTTTTGTGTGTGTTGCTAAATCAAGGAAATTCAATTTATTCTTTGCATAAAATATAAACATTTAAAGATAATAACTTCTGGTCCAAGTGGTTTCTACTCTGAAATTAAGCTAAATTTTAAGAAAACCTTTAGTTTTATATAAAGTATACTTTTTTGAAAAGGCTTAACTTTTGTACGTATTTAGGCGGAGCTAATGGACAAGCTGATTTCAGCTTTCGTTGATGAATTAAAACACCGACCTTCATGGGATGATGATGAAGTTGATTTTGCTGGGCCATCTTCCAGCCAAGATGGTATTTTATTGTATCTCTAAGTAACTTAACTATTCGTTTTGCTACAAAACAGTCATTTCTGAAAATGTTGGAATCTTCCAGAACAGCTTTTAATGCTATATATGCAAACACATAAAAATTGATGTTAGATAAAAGAAAATTATTTGGAATTTAAAATGGTGAAATATACTTAAAGCTAACTTATTGTACAATTTACAATACTTTTAAAACTTACTAACCACATCAAAAATTTTATTTTTATATTTAGCCATTTTCTAACATTATGTTCACAATAAGAATGCATCAGGTAAGATTTATTTAATAATTAAAATAACCATCATACTCTAAAACTATTTTTGAGTCTGAATACTTTATATTTCAATAACTTGTGAAACCAAAAGTTTTTTGTAAAAAGCATGTTTTAAGAATTCTCTCAATGTATAAATAATTATCATATTCTTGATGTAGCAACACATTTTTTCAAAATTTATTATAAAGTACATGTGGAAGAGGTGTTAAATACATAGTATAGGAATCTGTTACTCATAAGTTACATCTGGTTTAAATTGAATTTATTTTGCACAATAATTTCCCTGAAAGGGAGCCAAAGGCCACCTGGAGGGGTCACCTGTTTTAACCACTTACAACATTATACAGTAGTATGTTATCTGTCAATTAGTCAGTCAGCAGACACTAAAATGACGTCAGTAAAATGTGCACATGCCATGAATCACGAGAATTATGCACTCTGTAGGCTACAACACAGCATGACATAAGAACTTCAAAAGCAAGAAATAAAGACATTTGTTACTCATAATTTTGGTTTTATTTACTCTTGAAACAGATTACTTTCGGGGACCCTGTGGAAATTCATCAAGTAATTAAACATTTCTGATACACCATTCGGTGTTTAAGTTTAGTGTTGTATTTTAATTTTAATAATTTAACTTTTTTTATTTGTGGGACTTTGTGCTAATGATGCTTTCTAATTTTTTTTAAGAAAAAAAAAGAGTTAATAATCTATATCATTAGTGACATTTTTTTTAGCACAAGCTAATTGTGTGTTTTATACACATGCCTGAATAAGCTGAGCATGAAAGCAAAAAGGTCTTGCATAACTTTTTTAATAAGAGTTAATGAACATAATTTAGTTCATTCTTGAAGTTTGCCTGAAGTGAATTCTTTTTGCCATTTTAATAGTGTGCTGCTTATGATTTTTTTTATTGAGCCTTTGCTTACATTCGAGTTGAGAGAGTAAAAGGTTTATAAATATTACAAAAGGATAAACTAGATATGGTGTAGTTTCTAAAAGTGTTCATAAAGAAAGCAGTAAATAACAACAAAAAGTGTTTATGGTTGAATTGCACAAGGAAGTTAGAATTCTTTTAAGCCTAATGAGAACAGTTTTTGGTATAGTCTGTTTCTTGACGGTATTAATGATTAATAAATGTTTTCATAAAAAATACAAGCATGCAACAACCTCATATTTTTAAATGTTTGATTACTACTGACATTTATGGAAATAGTTTTCATTTAAAGTATTTTATTTTTCAGTTTACATATATTAAAGCAAATAATCGCTGCAGTTATTTGTGTTGTTTTATAATTAGTATTGTTTGCATTTCTCACTTTGCAGACTTTGGGCTTCCCATCACTCCACAGAAGATAAGCTCTGATTCTTATATTTCTGACAATATAAAGAAACTTTCTCTAGCTACTTTTAATGAAGATGGTAAGTTTTTATGAAAAATATGTTTAAGTAAGGGAAATGTTTGTTGTAAAATTCAAATATTTTAATAATGTCATAAATAAATTCTTTAAAACTGCTCGATAAACTGTGATTGCACATAGTTTGACTAAAATATTTTACTATTGTTTTTTTGTTTAGTCATATTATTGCAGATGAATATAGTTTTCAGCAAATTTTGATTAAAGTTTCTAATCCGTTCTACAATATCTGGCTATATGAGCAGTATAAATGAACAAGTTAAAAAAAAATCAGTCCCGAAACTGGATAATTGGAAATAACAAGAATAATTACAAGTTTTTGATGTATGTTTGGACGAAAGTATATTGAATTTAACAAAAGCAAGTTTATATTAATTTGTTGTTCCCTTATGACAATCACTGAAACTTAAATTGCATAAAATACCAAATTTGAGTCTATTTTTTGTACAGGGGAATGCACTTCGTGTTCAGGATCATGGGCATTTACCAAGTAAAGAGAGAGAATTGCAATGGATTTGGTAGCTATTTATTGTAAGATGTTTTATTTTAAGATAACTAATGTTGATAAATGAGTTAATGTACTTAAAATCTGGCTGAGGATTGATAGTCTTCTTATTTCACAGTCTTCACTATCTGAAAATGGTAAGCATAACAAATTTATGAATAATCCTTGCAGAGTAAAGTTAATATGATAAACCTATCTGTACAATAATTATGAGCAGTAAATGATTTCCACCAATATCATACATGTAATGAAAATAACAAGTTAATTTTTTTATGTTAATAATAGACCTGCTTATTCAGAAATATAAAGAGAAAATTATGAGTTATTCAGCATTATTATATTTTCTAATAAAATGTCAAAAATTCATAAGGCTTTAGCAAAGTATGAAGTAACATCAATTTTTCACTCTTTATTTAACATGAGAAAGATCTAAACAAATAATGTGTAGAGTATAATATCTGAACAAACTCGCTCAAAAAAAAGTAAAATATAAATGAACTCTATTAAAAAGAAGTTTAAACTGAGATTATCTGAAACTTTTGTTCATGAATTTCATCATCACGTAATAATTTATTGTTTTGTTAATTATTATGGAAATATCTGTAGTTTTAATTTCATATTTGACCTGATATGGTTAACCATTTTTCTTGATGTTTTGTCTGTTTGAATTCCATTCACATTTCAAGTTTCACAATTAAACTAATATGGTTTAGCTAATTGATTTCTTAAGTTCATGAAAGTTTTTCATGTAATCATCAATTTTAGAGAAATTGTATGCTGGCAAATTTTCATGTATTCTGAAGAGAAAAAAAAAACATTTCTTAAACCATTTTAGAACTTATTCATATTTGTTACAAATAACATACAAGTTATGTGTCATGCCATCAATATTTTCAGTCTAAAATTTAAGTGCCCTTTGTAACTTTGATCACATTAAAAAATGTATCTGATTGAAGTAGAAAATTTGGTAATTTGTGTCAGCTTGTATAAATAGTGTGTAGTTGATTTTTGTCATATACATATTGTTTTGATTTTATATTTATTGTTATTTGTTATCTATGTAATATGTATACTGACATTTCAAAACCTTTTATAACTAAAACTTTAATTTTGTTAATACAATCTAAGAACATATACATGTGCAATTTATGAGGAAGTCTTGATGTTGCTGTGTCTAGTCAGTGTTTTTGATTTTCTTCTCTTTACCTCGTTACATTCTATGAGTATGACAGTATTTTTATGTTTGCTTACTAGTACGGAATAGAATGAGTGTTCTCTAAAAAGGTTAACTTGATGGTGCAGTAATGTTTTTGAAGTACAGATACTTGCTTTTGATGAACTGCTTAGTAATGTTTGAAAACCTTCTTGAAGTTTTTAATTTTGTGTACTTCAATTTATCTGGTCATGGAAAAGCATTTTATAACGTGCAGTTTTTGAAGTTACTTTTGAAAGATGTGCAGAAACAAGGTATCAAGAACAAACATAAGGAATTAAAATAGTCTTGAAATACAAATTAAATGTTTTCTCAGGTAAGCCATTTAGTTCTTGGAGTCGAAAAAAATGCATATTCTGTGTAAATGAAGAAATTAATTTGTCTCAGAAGTTTAACAATGGAAAAACTTAACCTCTCATGATCCACATGTCATAATGACTGGACTGATTTAACAGATATCCAACCTGTTATTTTAAATAGATAATACGCATTAGGAATCCTGAAAATAGCTGCAAACAAGTCATAATGCACAATCACATTCTTAAAATGAAAGCATCATATTCTTATTGAAGTAAATGAAGATAAAATGGGCAATGACTGGCTAGAACTGAAAAATTGACAATGTTTCAAATTTGAATGATCTTTTGGCTTTTGAAATGTCATTAAATTTTCTGAACTAGGCCACTATTACCTATTTCACTCCTTTTACGCCATCATGAATATTCTACCTAAACCTCCACTGAGAGAATATTCTTATTGTTATCTACAGTAATAATAATTTTTACTGAAAAGTGGGAATATAAATCCCTAGTTAACGTAAAGGATGCATATCAAGTTGACTCCTATGCCTACGAGTAAGCAAGTTACATAAATAAGAAACAGTAACATCCTTATTTACTACTTAATGGAACTGAAATAGATATACTTGATGAAACACTGAAAAGTAAAGACAATTTGAAAGCTAGGCATGTGTAAATTTGTTTTTTAATCTAAAGCCTAATTGGCATTCTTCATAATTTCTTTTGAATATTCTGATAAATTTTGAGTTATTTTGAGAATACATTGGTTAACTTGGATTAGTTAACTCATCTTGTCAAATTTTATACTAAATAAGGCTTACCTTTGTTTACCCTGTTGCTACGGTGTCAAGCATATAATGTACATTACATAATAAATTTATTGGCCTATTAATTAACTTTTAAAACTAACTTCTGGGAAGATGGCAGTATGGAAAAACAGTTTTAAACCCAATTACTATTAAGCAAAATACCTAAGTTCATTGCCTTAAACAAATATTATATTAAAAAGATTAGAAGCATCTAGCTTACTTATTTCAGCCTTTATAGATTATGTTCTTCTCAATGACAAAAATTAATTTCAATTTATTTTAAGAATACAGTCATTTAAACTTGGATAAATTTGTTTAGTTTGTGGAATTGTATACCATGTTGTTGGTGCTAGTTTATATGCACTAAAAATTGCTAGAGTAATTTATTGAAAATTCATCTGCAGATTGTTTCCATATTTGTCGTACAATAAAAGTCAAATATATACGTATATATATATATATATAACTGTGGCTTGAAAGCCTAGAAATATTTGAAAATAATGATTTTAGTGTGTAACATCATATTCAATGACCTGTTAAATGTTTCTTTTTATGATGATGAAATCAGTATACATTTTCATTTACAGTGTTTTATAATTTAAAACATACACATGGTGGCCATATGTTTTTTTTTTTACATGGCAGTTTACAGATACTTACGATTAACATTCACCTAAACTACAGAATGGCATGACACAAGTGAGTTTTCTAGTTTTGTTTTTTAACTTATGAGGAACATCCTATCAAAGCTGTAAAAATTTACTTATTAAACTATTACCCATTCATCATTTGAAAAATAGTCCAATATTTGAACTGACATAGAAATTGTAGTTGCTGGCAACTAACTTATTAACATTATGTTAGGCTAGCACAGTTTTTGGTGTAACTTTAAATCATTTATTGAACTTGACACTCTGTAAACTTCTCCAATAAGAAGTAAATTTTATGATTTAAATAAAAAATTATTGGTAAAGTACACATTGTTTCAATAAACTGTTTGGTAATTTTTTGCTTTTGGATTTTGTGCAAGTATATGGACAAGATTTTTCTTATTGTACATCTTTATTGCCTTCTGGTTAGCTTAAATTTTTATCTCTAAAATGCAGACCCCAAGTGTATTATCAAGAATATCACTGAATGTCATGTCTATTTATTGTTCTTTGTACTAGGTTAAAAGTTTATATTCTCTTAATATATAGTTGTAATGTAAGATATCTAGTTTAACTAATCCAGTTAGTCTAGAGAGGTGTATTATGATGGAAAATATGTAAATATAACATTTTGGGGTAAATTTTGTGATGTGATTGGACAGGTTGTGATTTATGTCTGATTCACATTTATACAAAACTGTACTTTCTGTACAATCATTTTCTAATTTTGCTGTAAACAATAAATTATTGTCAATGTAATAAATAAGTGATTTACCGCTCTTTTCTCTTAATTCAGTTAAGTTACTCATATTTGAACACTGGAATATCAAGCTCACTGTATAAGCTCCACATGAAGAAACATTGTATATTTAATGTTTACAATGGAAATTATTTAAATGTTTCCTGTTGAAAATATTAAAAAGTCCTTTTATCATTTAGAGAAATACATATCTTTGGTTTGAGCAGAAAAATTTCCAACTAATCAGTAGGACATGGAAGGTTAAAACTGGGAGATAAGTATAGAATGGATCATCATTTTGTGAGTGCAGCCTTAATACTTACATTATTTCTCAGTAAAGATTTTGTGTTTAATCTAAAAACATTGACTGTCCCCTTAGTTTTGCTGCTGACTAAACAAAGTATGAATTAAAATAGGGTTTCAGATCTCATATCAACGAATTTCAAAATGCAAATTTCAACTGGTAATAGTCACATGTTACCTTAACCTCATGAATGTTGTTTTGTAAGTTAACACCTGTGACGAGAATGATAACCTGTCATTGTTTTGAAATTTTAACAGAGGAAGTGGGGTTAAACAGGTTATCATTCTTGTATAACTTATAACTTTAATTAGATGCACACCAAATACTGTGCTTGTGACAGTAAATAAATGAACTGTTGTTGTTTTGAAATTTTAACAGAGGAAGTGGGGTTAAACAGTTCATTTATTTACTGTCACAAGCACAGTATTTGGTGTGCATCTAATTAAAGTTATAAGTTATACAAGTTTTCAATTGTTGTTATTATATTTAAGAGTGAAAAAAATAAATCTTCTTGGTTTACAATAACATTATTCAAACACAGCTGATTGTAAATAACACCTAAAGGATCAGTTTCCAGTCTTATTAGTGATACATCCATTTTGCCTGTTATATTAACTAAACTTTTAAAACTATGATTTAAAAGTTAAAGCTCTGCCATTACAAGTTAGCAACTAAAGAAGCTTATCAAAGTAAATAAATATATTAATAAATTTAAACAAAACCATTATTTGACCATGATGAGATGGGTTGGTACTTTATTTGAGGAACAGAGAAAATTAATTTCCTGAGGACTTAACATGCTAATTACTGTATATATACATGATTTGAGAAAAGAAATTAAATTAGTCTGATATTTTAAATGTATGTACCTCTTTCTACATGTACTTTTATATTTTAATTATGCTAAGCCTTGAAACACTTAAAACAGTTTATAAAGTACATTTCTCTTCCACTGGATGCTCAAGGTACAGAAAGCAATATATGTTATTTGCAGTAACAATATGAAAAGTAGAAAGCATGGATATTTTGTATATTACTAAATTGTATATGCAGTTCCACATATCTTAAAATATTAGGAGTTTGACCATATCAGTTTGGTTAATTGTAGTGCTGCAATATTAGTATAAATTAGACAGTTTTTTAACATTCCTTCCATTCCTATTATAGTAAAGTATATTTTTATAAGGGAAATGTTTTTAACAACTCATCTGGAGACCAAATTTTATTTTTGGTGATTATTAACTCGCATCTTTTAAAAGAACAAATATTTTCTTTTCAAAGTTTGATTGATTTTTTAATCCATTAAAATTGTTAATAATTTTAGTGTAACCCTTCTTCCCTTGAGTTATTTCCTAATTAACCATTTATATAACACATTTGTTTAAAAATATGCTTTTAAAAACATCTGATGCAAAATTTTCCTCAATAATCATGGGAAGCACAGAAACCTTTCTTTTCAAGGTCAAAATGCAGCTTTAACAAACCATAGTTAATTTAAAATCTTATGAAATCTGAATATTAATCTCTAGCAAGTATGTTGAAATGATAGTATCACAAGTTATCTGTCGTAAAACCAGAAGAGTTTAGAAAAGTACTTCATAGGAACATTGATTATGCTTCAGTTCAACACAGTGACCAACCAAATTAAACAGTTGAGCCTATTGTGGAAACAGTATTGCTTTGTGGTCAACAACACAGTACCAGGGGGGCATCATAATGAAAGTGAACTAGACTTATAAAAAGAGAGACTAGAAATGTAGATGTAAAAGACCAGAGATTACCAGCTGGTAATCAGGTGCTCAAAAATAATTTAAACTCAGCTCCAAGTAATAGCAAAGTACTCAATATAATATACCTGAATGTTATGAAGATAGCAAAAAAAGGTGAAAGGTTTTACAGAATTTTAATATATATATATCAACACCTGGACAAGTAACCATTTTTGTAAGATAAATTGAAACTCTGGTAAGATTTTATATGTTTTTTCATTGCTATGGACCCAACATATAAAAGATTTTCAGGCAGAAAACTGCCAAATTTAAACCTTTCTCTTGGAGTGTCTGAGAGGTTAAGGTTATAATGTAGGTTCCAACATGTCAGAAAAGTACTTGTCAGAATTTTAAAATGTTTCTTTTTTTGCTAGTTGTCAAAACAAAAGGCTTTTACTTATATTTCTTAATAGTATAAATATACTATGTTGTTGTTGGGCTTAGGATTCTTCTACAGTAGGTGTCTTTGACTTGTTAGCGATAAGTTCAATGATGAATAAACAGCACAAACTTGTTTTCAAATAATATAAATATATATTCGTAACAAGTTAAACATACGTACAACAAAGTCTTCACACTATAGAGATTACAGGCATATCATAAACATTATTTATATATATAATTCTCTTCTTCTTGTAAAAAGTCCATTTACGCCTATTTAATTACTTTGGAATTTCAGTTGACAAGCCAAACTATCTTCTGTACTACTATTGCACTAGTATTTTGTGTGTTATTCACTTACAATTGTGGCATGAGTTACAGTAATCGTTTGGTCTTCTTTGTTCTAAGTATTCTCTGTTCCTTTTGTCAAAGTGATCTCAGGCTGATTCAGTTACTATAGAACCATGTTTTGATGGAATAATTCTTCTTATCTCCTGTTAGTCTTACTTTAACATATAAAAACGTTAGGCCTATCACTTCTATTGTAGTTAACTTTACGCCAAACTTTTCCTTGCCCTGTAACTTTACTCTTTTTTTGCTATTATCTGTCTGCTGCTTCCAATCATCTCACACTATTTATATCTTTATCACGTAATTGTCTACCTGCCTTCTATATTCTTAACAGCAGTGTGTTGCACATGACGTTCAATAGTCTCAACATCAATGAATTATTAAGAAAACTTT